CCTTTAGCATGTCTTTAATCAAGGCAGTAATCTCCTTTCATCCACCAGGTATCCTACACTGTTTCAAATTAACAACCTGAGTGGGAATTACAAGACCATGGCTAGAAAAGCCACACATAAAAGTAATTAATCACACCACAAGCATTCATATGGATATGAGGCAATTGAAAATACCATGGCTTGGGTCAGGTGTGGCTTAGTCCTCAAAGTGATATCTTTGCTTTTCAACACTTTAAAGAGGTCTTTTGCAGCAGATTTGCCCAGTGCAGTATGTCATTTGATTTCTTTTTTTTAATATATAGTTTTATTTATTATTGTTGAGAAATACACAGCAAAACATACACCAATTCAAATTTCTACATGTACCATTTAGTGACATTGATTATATTCTTTAAGTTGTGTAACCATTCTCACCCTCCTTTTCTGAGTTGTTTCTCCTGCATTAACATAAATTCACTGCCCCCTAAGATTCCTAACTAATCTTTTGAGTTGCTGTTGTCAATTTGATCCCATATAGGTAGTTCGTAGAAGAGTATAATACTTAGGGCAGACACTTTTTACTAGTTAAGCTAAACTATTACTTGGTTTTGAGAAGACTTCAGGGGATATTTTTTATTTAAAGTTTAAAGATTATCTCAGGGCAATAGTTTCAGGGGTTCATCCAACCTTCATGGCTCCAGGAAGTCTGGAGTCCATGAGAATTTGAAAATTTGTTCTGCATTTTCCCCGTTTTGATCAAGATTATTCTATGGAATCTTTGATCAGAATGTTCAGTAATGGTAGCCAGGCACCATCCAGTTCTTCTGGTCTCATTGCAAAGGAGACAGTTGTTCATGGAGGCAATTATCCACATATTTTATATCCTCCTCCTATTCCTGACCCTCTTTTCCTCTGTTGTTCCAGCAAATAGAGACCAACTGTTGTGCCTTGGATGGCCACTTGCAAGCTTTTAAGACCCCAGACAGTACTCATTGAACTAGGAGGTAGAACAGAGGCACTAAGCATGTTATTAGGCCAGTTAACTGGGATGTCCCATGAAACCATGACCCTAAACCTCCAAACCAAGAAACCAAATCCCATGATGTTTTTGGTGGTATATAATCAGCCTCAGCAGCTACTCTTTCTTTTTTTGTTGTAAATCTATCACACAACTTTTTCCAATTCAACTTTTTATAGCTGTACAACTTACTGATGGCAATTACAATAATCGGCTGTGCAATCCTACCCTTAGTCAATGCGATATTTCCATCACTATTAACCCCCTGTTTCCTCTCCTTCCCTTTGCTGGTAGCCACTAATAAATTTTGTTCTTTATACATTTGTATTTTCTCGTCTTTTATATAAGTGAGGTCATACAATATTCATCCTTATGTGACTGACTGACTTCACTCAGCATAGTATCTTCTAGCTCCATCCATATAGTAACATGTATCAAGACTTCATTTTTCTTATTGGCTGAGTAGTATTCCATTGTATGTACATACTACATTTTGTTTATCCATTCATCTGTTACGGGCATTTAAGTTGTTTCCATCTTTTGGCTATTGCGAATAATGCTGCAATGAACATTGGTGTACAAGTTTCTGAGTCTTTGCTTTCAAGTCTTTTGTGTATATGCCTAGGAGTGGAATTGCTGGATTAAATGGTAGTTCTATTTTTAGTTTTTTGAGGCACTGCCACACTGTTTTCCGTAACAGCTGTATTATCTTGCATTCCTATCAGCAGTGGGTGAGGGTTCCAATTTCCCCACATCCTCACCAACAGTTGTTGTTTTCTGTTTTTTTTTTTTTTAAATCTTAGCCATCCTAGTGGGAGTGATATAGTATCTCATTGTGGTTTGATTTGCATCTCCTTGTGGTTTTGATTTGCAAGTCCTCAGTGACTAATGATGTTAAGTATCTTTCATGTGTTTATTGGTCATTTGTGTATCTTTGGAGAAATGTCTATTCAGATCATTTACTGATTTTTAAAACTGTATTATTGATCTTTTTGTTATTGAGTTGTAAGTTCTTTCTATATTCTTGATACAGGTTTCTGGCTGGATATATGATTTGTAAATATTTTCATTCATTCTCTGTGTTGTCCTTTAATTTTCTTGATAGTGTCCTTTGAAGCATGAGTGGTTTTAATTTTGATGAAGTTCAGTTTATCTGTTTTTCTTTTGTTGCTTATGCTTTTGGTGTTGTATCTGAGAAACCATCGCCAAATCCAAGGTTACAAAGATTTACCCCTACATTTTCTTCTGAAAGTTTTATGTTTAGATATTTGATCAGTTTTTCATGTGGATATCCAGTTGTCCCAGCACCATTTGTTGAAAAGACTATTGTTTCCCCCACTTAATTGCTTTGGCACCCTTGTGAAAAATCAATTCACCCTAATTTAAATAAACTTGAAGGTTTATTTCTGGACCCTAAATTTAATTCTGTTTATGTATACATCTGTCTGTATACCAGTGTACACTGTCTTGATTACCGATGCTTTATAGTAAGTTTTGAAATTGAGAAGTATCACTTCTCCAAATTTGTTCTTCTTTTTCAAGATTGTTTTGGCTACTCTGGGTTCATTGCAATTCCATATAAATTTTAGAATCACCTTTTCCTTTTCTACAAATAGCCGGCTGGGATTCTTATAAAAATTGCCTTGAATCCGTAGATCAATTTGAAGAGTATTGTCATTTTAGCAGTATTAAGCCTTCCAATCTATGAACACGGGATATCTTTTCATTTATTTAGATCTTTTTTACTTTGTTTCAACATTGTTTTATAGCTTCAGAGTATAAGTTTTGTACTTCCTTTGTTAAATTTATTGCTAAGCATTTAATTACATTTAATGCTATTGTAAATATGGACTTGTTTCCTTAATTTCATATTCAGGTTGTTCATTGCAGATGTATAGAAATACAATTGATTTTTGTATCTTGCAACATTGAGCTCATTTATTTATTCTAATAGTTTTTGTATGGATTCTTTAAGATTTTCTGTATAGAAGATAATGTCATATGTGAGTAGAGATAATTTTACTTCTTCCTTTCCAATCTGGATGACTTTTATTTCATTTTCTTACCTAATTGCCCTGGCTGGAACTTCTAGTATGTTGTTGAATAGCATAGTATGTTGCTGAATAGTAGAGATGAAAGCAGTCATTTTGTCTTTTTCCTTATTTTGGGGAGAAGCATCATTTGTTTACCATTAAATATGCTAGCTCAGGGTTTTTCATGATGCCCTTTATCAGGTTGAGAAATCTCCTTTCTGTTCCTAGTTTGAAGAGTGTTTTTTTTTTCCCCCCATGAAAAAGGTGTTGTATTTTGTCAAATGCTTTTTCTGGATTTATTGAGATAATCCTGTGGTTTTTGTTTTTTATTTTATTGATATGGTATATTACATTATTTGATTTTTGGATGTTAAATCAACCTCAATTTCCTGGGAGAAATCCCACTGATTCATGGTGTATAATCCTTTTATATGTTGCTAGACTCTGTTTGCTGGTATTTTTTTTTGGGATTTTTGCATCTATATTCATAAGAGATATCAGTCTGTAGTTTTCTTGTAATGTCTTTGTCTGTTTTTGGTATCAGGATAATAGAGACCTCATAGAATAAGTTGGGAACTGTTCCCTCTTCCTCTTTTTTTTTGGAGAATTCATAAGGAATTGATATTAATTCTTCTTTAAATGTTTGATAGAATTCTCTTGTGAAACTCTGTGGGCCGGGACTTTCTTTGTGGGCAGTTTTTCGATTGCTGATTTAATTACTTTATTTGTTATAGATCTATTCAGATTTTCTATTTCTTCTTGGATCATTTTCAGTAGTTTGTGTCTTCCTAGGAATTTGTCCATTTCATCTAAATTATGTAATTTATTGATATACAATTAAGTATTAATTGTTTTATTAAGTGTTTTATGTATATTAATTTATTGAATCTTTATGGCAAGCCTATGAAGGAGGTACTGTTATAATCTCCATTTTATAGATGAAAAAACTGAGGCACAGAGAGTTAACTTGCCCAGGGTCACCCAGCCTGTAAGTGGAGGAGCCGGTATTTGAATCCAGACAGTCTAGTTCCAGAATGTATGCTCTTGATCATAACTGTACCATCTGAAGACCACCTACCTCCAAAAGTTTTCACCAGGAGGGACTTGGAATCTATCTGGTCATGCTAGGCCTTTTGAGGTACTTATTCTTATTCAGATTAGTAACTATACTTGGCTTTAATCCACTTCTTTTCTTATTCTGATTTCTAGTCTTCCAGTGATTTGGCCGTGATAGGTCAGTCACCCTAGTTGGACATGAAATCTTATTCAAAACAAAGGCTTGCATCTGAAATTTCTAAACAAATTTATTTTTTGGTTCTTTTATTATCTCCATTGAGAAGGAGTCTCCTAAATAGCTGCTTGTTACCGCCAGAGTGAAGGGAATGTGGTTAGATACTCTCAGTATTAATTGTCAGACCATCTTTTAAATAATTGCAAATCATGAGCCTTCAAACAATATTGATTTCAACCAGCATTTTACCAGCTGCCTGGTGCTGATAGATAAAGACTAATAAATGTAGTTAGTGAGGGAGACTGATACATAAGATGATAACTCATACAATGTAATAAATATTGTATGAGTTATATGCTTATATATACAAATACATACACTATATATACACATATACATGTAGACATATACACAGATGTGTATATATATATAAAAGTGTTTGTATATAAATAAAGGTAATAAAACATATGAGAAAGCATACATGAATTTCAGAAGAAAATTTTCAGAAGTGTAGGGACCTAGACCATGGAAACTATACAGCGTGCTATTTACTTGATTCACCGTGGCACCTATTGATTTTTACATTCTAATCTGTCTCTTGGACTTGAAGCCATTTCCCCTTCCATACCGTTAGTAAATATAGCAACAAAATGTCTCTTCTGTGCATATTTCCAATGAGATAGTAGGTGAGAATTCTAGGAATTACATTCTTCTTACCCAAGCATTGTCTTCTTTACAGGCATAAGCTGGAACCATTACCAGTCATAGCCTCTACCACCTCGGTATCAAACATTATGGAGGAACCGTTCATTCTCGAGATATCTACCATCTCCAAAACACCCACTACTGAGGGGGCATCTCTTTTCAAAAAGTTGTTAGTTTTAAAAGAGGATCCCACTACTGAGGAGACAACCCTCACCAAGAGACCATTATTTTTTAAAAAGTGCACAAATCAGGGGGAGATGCCCCTCTTGAAAAAGTCATTATCCTTGCATGAGGAGGCTGACAATGAAGATGAGTTTGTTATGGTGCCAATGACTTTAAGGAAGAAGCATAAAACTGAAGAGGCAGCCATCACCAAGAGGGCATTATCCTTAAAGAAGAAGATATGCACACATCAGGGGAAGCAGTCTTTCTGGGAGGAGTTGTTGGCCTTGCAGGAGAGAATCAACATTGAAGAGGAGTCCTTCTTTATGGAGCCAGTGAACTTTATGAAGAAGCCTAAAACTGAGGAGGCAACCCCCACCAAGAAGCTGTTATCTTTAAAAAAGAAGAAGCATAACACTCAGGGGAAGATGTCCTGCTTGAAGAAGCGACTAGTATTGCAGAAGATCACCTATGAAGAGAAGTCACTCTTTAAGGAGCCATTGTCCTTTAAGAAAAAGCCTACCGCTGAGGAATTCCTCTTCCAGGACCCATCTGCATTACAAGAGAAGCACACCACTGAGGGGGACATGTCCGTCTTGAAGAAGTCCTTGGTCTTACAAAAGACTCCCATTGAGGAGGAGTCACTTTTTAAGGAGCCTTTGGCTTTTAAGAGGTGCACCGTTGAGGCAGCAACCCTCACCATGAAACCATCATCTTTAAAGAATAAGTGCACTACTCAAGGAAAGATGTCCCACTTGAAGAAACCACTAATACTGCAGAAGATCATCTCTGAAGAAAAGTCAGTCATTGAGGAGCCATTGTTTTTTAAGAACAAGCCTATCATTGAGGAGTCCCTTTTCCAGCAGCCATCTGCATTGCAAGAGAAGCAGACCACTCAGGGGGAAGGGTCCATCTTGAAGAAGCCGTGGGCATCCCAGGAGAATATTGATAGTGAAAATTTCTTTGTTATGAAGCCAGATTCCTTTAGGAAGAAACATACCACCACGGAGGCAACCCCCACCAAGAAGCTGTTGTCGTTAAAAAAGAAAAAGTACACCACTCAGGGGAAGATACCCATCTGGCAAGAATTGTTGGACTTGCAGGATATGTTTGTCAAAGAAAAGGATTCCTTCTTTATGGAGCTGATGTTATTTAGGAAGAATCCCACAACTGAGGAGACAACCATCACCAAGACACCATCATATTTAAAGAAGAAACAAATCACTCAGGGGAAGATGTTCTTAAAGAAGCCACTAGTGTTGCACAAGACTGCCTCTGAAGAGGAGTCACTCTTTAAGAAGCCATTGTCCTTTAAGAAAGAGCCTACAACTGAGGAGGAGTCCCTCTTCCAGGATCCATCTGCATTGCAAGAGAAGCACACCTTTCTGGAGGAGGTGTCTCTCTCAGAGAAACAATTGGCCTTGCAGGAGAAAACAACCAGTGAAGAAGAATCATATATTAAGGAACCATCGACCTTGAAGGAGAAGCCAACCATCGAGGAGGAATTCCTCTTTCAGGAGCCATTTTTATTACATGAGAAACTTAGCAACAAAAACGAGTCTCTCTTCCAGAAGGTTTTGTTCTTGCAGGAGAAGACTGCTATCAAAGAGGAGTCCTTGAAGAAGCTGTTGGCCTTACAAGAGGAGATCACCTCTGAAGAGGAGTTCCTAATTAAGGAGCCATTAGCTATGGAGGAAAAGTCCACCATGGTGGAGGAATTTCTCTTCCACAAACCGTTATCATTACAAAATAATTCTACCAACAAAGAAGACTCACTCTTCCTGCAACCAGTGGCTTTGCCTGAGAAAACTGACACCAAAGAGAAATCCTTCTTGCAGAAACTGTTGACCTTGCAGGAGAAAACCACCACTGAAGAGATGTCCCTTTTTAAGACACCATTGGACCTCAAGAAAGAGCCTTCTGATGAGGTGGCAACAAGCATAGAGAGGCAATTATCTTTAAAGAAGAAGCCCACTGCTCAGGGGGAAGTGTTTCTCTTAAAGAATTGGTTGGTCTTACAAGAGAACACCACCAATGACGAGAAGTCTTTTCCTAAGCAGCCAAAGGCCTTCCAAGAGATACCCAGCATTGAGAAGGAGGCCCTCTTCAAGGAGCCTTTGATCTTGCAGGATAATCCCAGCATTGAGGAGGCAATCCTTAAGGAGCCCTTGGACTTGCAGGCGAAGCCCACTTTTGAGAAGGAATCCCTACTCAAAGAGACCACTATTTATACAGAGGCTCACTTCAAGGAGCCCCTGACGTTACAGGAGAAGCCCAGCATTGAGAAGGAAGCCCTCCTCAAGGATCTCACTATTGACAAAGAGGCTTACTTCAAAGAGCACTTGGCCTTGCAGGCGAAGCCCAGCATTGAGAAGGTGGCCCTCTCCAAGAAGCCATTGACCTTGCAGGAGAAGCCCATCATTGAGAAGGGGGCCCTCTTCAAGGAGGCTTTGGCCTTGCAGGAGAAGCCTGCTATCAGTGAGGCATTCTTTTCCAAGGACATATTAGCTTTGAATGAGAAACCCACCACTGCGGAGGAGTTTTCCTTCAAGGAGTCTTTGCCCTTGCAAGAAAATCCCACCACCAAGGAAGACATCTTTCTCAAAGCACTCTTGACCTTCCAAGTTGAGACAAACCCACGTATGTCCAGCACTGCCACTGAATCCAGAACAGGCGAGTCCAGCACTGCCACCATGTCCAGTGTGGGCAAGTCCAGTACTCCCAGCAAGTTCAGTGTGTGTGAATCCAGTTCTAATAAATCTTTCTCACCTCAGGGCAAGAGAACACAGAAAGAGGTATTCTCTCTTTTTCTGTACCTTAAATTAGGTGAAGTATTCTTTGTTGTTCTGGAGGTGGATGCTAGCAAAGAGATTTTTTTGCTTTCCTAAGCAATTGAACTATATATAGTAAGTTATGGGAGGTCTCTCTACCCAGCAACAGAGTGGATATTTCTTGGGTTTACTTATGGTTCTATCTAATGGTGGATAATATGGAATCATCGCTTCTCACCTTTTGCAAACTGAGGTTACCCACTATATGGGATAAATTTACCAGGATTTTTGGCATTTTTCTCTTAAGTTTGTTTTGAAGAAGTTTTTTACTCCTGATTGGCATAGAACTTACTCCAGAAATATCCTTAATGGCTCTTTTATTACCTCCATTGAGAAAGAGTCTCCTAAATAGCTGCTTGTTACCTCCAGAGTGAAGGGAATGTGGTTAGATACCCTCAGTATTAATTGTCAGACCATCTCTTAAATAATTGCAAATCATGAGTCTTCAAACAATATTAATTTCAACCAGCATTTTACCAGCTGCCTGGTGCTGATAAAGACTAATAAATGTAGTTAGTGAGGGAGACTGATACATAAGATGATAACTCATACAATGTAATAAATATTATATGAGTTATATGCTTATATATACAAATACATACGATATATATACACATATGCATGTAGACATATACACAAACGTATATATTTATATATATATATATATGGGCGTTCTAGTATTGGTTAGAAAATTTTATTCAGGAAACTGCCTGAATAAAATCTTCATCACAGTGGGCTTCAGTCTAAGGTGGGTAAAGTTCAAAGGGGCATCTCCCAAGAAGGTAGTCTTTAAGTTGTAAATTAGTAGAATGAGGGGATGAGATTTGGCACCCAGGAGAAATACCCCTGTGGTAGGCAAAACAACCTTGGCAAAGGGAGGGAGGAGAAGGCTACTGAGAAGATGAATTGGGTCAGGTCAAAGCATTGGGACATAAGAAGGACTTAAGAAGACAGGAGCCATGGTGGCGCAGAGGTTAAAGCACTCGGTTGCTAACCGAAAGGTTGGTGGTTTGAATCCACCAGCCGCTCCGCAGGAGAAAGATGTGTCAGTCTGCTTCTTGTAAAGACTACAGCCTTGGAAACCCTATGGGGCAGTTCTACTTTGTCCTATAGGGTCTCTGTGAATCAGAATTGACTCGATGGCAGTGGGCAAGAAGACAGTTGACATAAACTGAAATAGTAAAACAAGAATGTCTTTCTTGAAGAGTCTTGAGCTTGCTGTAAAAAGGGTGCCTGGTTCTTAGGGCAGAATAGGCATGTACAAGGAGGACTAGGTAGGTATTCCTTGATCACTAGATAGTATAAGGATTGCAGGGCCAAGGGATGCTCTGTTACGATCCAGGATGTATGAAGCTGGAGGAACCTTAGCAGAAGAAAAAAGTGGGGAGAAAGATGTCATCCTTGATGTACATGTGCTAAGCCTTCCTTGGAATCTTTCTTCTCCTAATATGTCTTTTTGGTGATTTCCAAGCAGATGACCTCACTAGAGGATATTGACAAGGACCACAGTGATCCATTTTTCAACTCAATATATGCCAAGGATATATTCAGTTACATGAAGGAGAGAGAGGTATGTAGGTGACTTGGAGAGCCAGTGCTTTCTGGTTCTCATTTCTTTGTCACTTCATCTCCTTCAGCATGCAAATTGAGAGAGAAGGTAATAATAATGATGAAAATAATAATAGCAACAGCTAACATCTACTGGTAACTTACTGTGAGTTGGATATTGTGCTAAGGGATTTATAGACATTATTTTGTTTAATTCTCCCAATAACTTCATGATGGTAGATATTCCTGTTATCTCTCTTTTACAGATAAGGGAAACTGCCCAAAGTCACACAACTAATATGTGGTGGAGCTGGGATTTGGACTAAAGTCTAATTACCTTGAAGACTATAAGACTGTACCTCTACTGAGGAGGCAATATCTGACACAAAAATGGTCAGGTGGCCTCTTTCTGAGTGGCTGCTGTCAGAGATCTTCTTTTTCCTTCTCTATGCAAGTTTCTGGCATCATATGTAAAATCATACCCTTTGTTTCAACTCTCCAACCTAGTGAAATTTTCTTTCTCTTTTGAATCTGCCAATCTGCTTTACCACTAATATTCATCAATTCCAAATTTTCTTCTGTCTCTCTTAATGGAACAGATGGGACCAAGTCTAACTGCCAGTCAGAATTTTAGCAAGCCATGTATATAAGAAAAGAGAGTGGATATCTAGTCTTTAGAGAGAGAGCAATTATCTGTCTGACTCCAGAGCCCTTGCTTTTTCTAGTATACTTTGGAGGAAGTAAGAGGCAACTTTGCTATTCTAAAAATGTGGGCCTTAGCTCAGCAGTATGGGTTTCACTTGGGATCTTGTTAGAAATGCAGAAACCTAGTGCCACCCCAGACCTTCTATATCAGAATCTGCATTTTTACAAGATCCCCAAGTGGTGCATATGCATGTTAAAGTTTGGGAAGCACTTCTGTACAAAGCATAATACTATACTTTAGATTGCATTGCAAAGAAGGGACAGAACCTTTTTGGCATTCATTCATAGCCATAGGTGTGTACCTGCTCATATTCCCTCTGGACTTCTCAATATTCACTCTGGCACTTGAATACCATGTGTGTCTATTTCCCAAGGATAACTGAAACATGTCTGAAAAAAATACTTTGATCTTGTCCCTGTCTGGCACCAGCTGGAAATAATGAGTTAGCATCACGAAGGAGAAGTTAGTTATGTTAAGTTACAGTTTTCAAACTCCTAGAAGAGTTTATTCATTAACATTCCTTTCTCATTCCTCCCAGGAAAAATTCATACTTAAAAAATACATGAACAGACAAACTGACATCAACAGTGACATGAGGGCCATTCTTGTGGACTGGTTGGTGGAGGTACAGGTAAGACTGACAACTGCTGCCTTAAGGAATTAGAATTCGTTTTATGAGTTTTTCATTCAGTACCTCCAGTTGCCAAACATGGTAAGCATTTGCTGAGTATAAGAGAGCTGAATAAGCCATGATTTCTGCCTTCAAGGTTTATAATCTAGGGGGCAAGATTTTTATAACTTAAATTTTTATATTTTTATATAATCAGACAGTAAACTTGACAATTTTTGGTATATATATCTATGATTTTTTAAAACATTTGTTTTGAAATAATAGATACACAAGAAGTTTCAAAAAATAGTACAAAGAGGTCCTGTGTACCCTTCACCCAGTTTCCTCCAATAGTAACATCTTGCGTGACTGTAGTATACTATCACAATCAGGAAATTGACAGTAGTATAATCCACAGACCTTACTTAGATTTCACCAGTTTTACATGGAATCATTTGTGTGTGTGTGTGTATGTATGTGTTTAGTCCATGCAATTTTATCATGTGTATATTTGTGTGATCAACATTACGCAGTTAAGATACAGAATTTTCCATCACCACAGGGATCCCTTGTGTTACTCTTTTATAGCCACAGCCACCTCCCTCCTGCACCTCCCCATCCATGGCAACAACTTATTTGTCCTCCATCTCTATAATTTTGTCATGTCACAAATGTAATATTAATGGAATTATACAGTATGTAACCTTTTGAGATTGACTTTTTTTATTCATCGTAATTCCCTTTAGATCCATCTAAGTTGTTGCATGTATCTAGTTAGTTCCTTTTTATTGCTGAGTAGTATCTGTACCATGGTATGGATGCACCAGTTTGTTTACCCATTCACCTGTGGAAGGACATTTCGTTTGTTTCCAGTTTTTGATGACTATGAGAAGAATTGCTATAAACATTCAATTAAAGATTTTTATGTAAATGTAAATTTTTGATACCAATATTAATATCCAGGAGTGGGAATGCTGGGTCATGTAAGTGTATGTTTAACTTAATGAGAAACTGTCAAACTTTTCCAGAGTAGCTGCATCATCTTATGTTTTCACCAGCAGTGTATGAGAGTTCCAATTGCTCTGCATCCTTGCTAGCACTTGATATTGTGCTTTTTATGTTTTAGCCATTCTAATAGGTGATACAGGAATCTTATTGTGGTTTTAGTTTGCATTTCCTCAACGGCTAATGATGTTGAATATCATACTTGTTTGTCATCCGTATATCCTTTTGGAGATGTCTGTTTAAGTCTTTTACCTGTTTTTAAATTGGATTGTTTATTTTATGAGTGTCAAGTTATGAGAGTTCTTTACATATTTTGGATACAAATCCTTTGATATGTGACTTACAAATATATTATCCCATTCTGTAGTTAGGTTTCTTTTTATTTATTATACTTTAGATGAAGGTTTATAGAGCAAATTAGTTTCTCGTTAAACAAATAATACACATATTGTTTTGTGACATTGGTTGCCAACCCCACGACATGTCAACACTATCTCCTTCTCAAAGTTGGGTTCCCCGTTACCAGCTTTCCTGTCCCCTTCTGCCTTCTCATCCCTGCCCCTGAGCCAGTGTGCCCGTTTAGTCTCATTTTGTTTTATGGGCCTGTCTAATCTTTGGCTGAAGGGTGAACCTCAGGAGTGACTTCAGTACTGAGCTAAAAGGGTGTCTGGGAGCCATACTGGTGGGGTTTCTCTGGTCTCTGTCAGACCTGTAAGTCTGGTCTTTTTTTTTTGTGGGTTTGAATTTTATTCTACATTTGTCTCTAGCTCTGTCCAGGACCCTCTATTGTGATCCCTGTCAAAGCAGTAGGTGTTGGTAGCCGGGCACCATCTAGTTGTGCTAGACTCAGTCTGGTGGAGGCTGTGGTAGTTGTGGTCCACTAGTCCTTTGGACTAATCTTTCCCTTTTGTCTTTGGTTTTCTTCATTCTCCCTTGCTCCAGACGAGATGGGACGAGTGGAGTATCTTAGGTGGCTGCTCAGAAGCTTTTAAGACCCCAGACAAAACTCACCAAAGCAGGATGTGTAGAACATTTTCTTTATAAACTATGCTATGCCAATTGAGCTAGAAGTCCCCCGAGACCATGTTCCCTAGCCCTCAGTCCGATAATTTGGCCTCTCAGGGAGTTTGGATGTATCTATGAAGCTTCCATGACCTTGACTTGGTCAAGTTGTGCTGACTTTCCCAAAATTGTGTATTGTATTACCCTTCACCAAAGTTACAACTTATCTATCGTCTAGTTAGTGTTTTTCCCTTCCTACCGCTTCCCTCCCTCGTAACCATCAAAGATTGTTTCTTTCTCTGTGTAAACCTTTTCATGAGTTTTTATAATAGTGGTCTCAGACAGTATTTGTCCTTTTGTGATTGGCTTATTTCACTCAGCATAATGCCTTCCAGATTCATCCATGTTGTGAGATGTTTTGCAGATTCATCATTGTCCTTTATTGTTGTGTTATCTTCTGTTGTGTATATGTACCATAGTTTGTTTATCCATTCATCTGTTGATGGGCACTTAGGTTGTTTCCGTCTTTTTGCTATTGTGAATAATGCTGCAATGCACATGTCTATTCATGTGATGGCTCTTATTTCTCTTGGATCATATGGTATTTCTATTTCTAGCTTTCTAAGGAAGCGCCATGTCATTTCCCAAAATGGTTGTACCATTTTACATTCCCACCAGCAGTGCATAAGAGTTCCAAGCTTCCCCCAACCTTTCCAACATTGGTTATTTTCTGTTTTTGTGATTCATGCCAGTGATGTTGGAGTGAGAATTGTATCTCATTGTCGTTTTGATTTGCATTTATCTAATGGCTAGTGATGGAGAGCATTTCCTCATGTATCTGTTAGCTGCCTGAATGTCTTCTTTGGTGAAGTGACTGTTTATATCCTTTGCCCATTTTTTAATTGAATTATTTTTCTTTTTGTTTAGAGGGTTGGATTTTCCTATAGATTTTAGAGATTAGACCTTTGTCAGATTTGTCATAGCCAATTTTTTTTTCCCAGTCCATAGGTTCTCTACATACTCTTTTGGTGAAATCTTTTGATGAGCATAAGTGTTTAATTTTTAGAAGATCCCAGTTAACTAGCTTATCTTTTGGTGTTTGTGTATTGTTAGTTATAGTTTGTATATAATTTATGCCCTTTATTAGGGCCTATGGCGTTGACTCTATTTTTCTTCTATGATCTTTATATTTTTTGGTTTTATATTTGGGTCTTTGATCCATTTTGAATTAGTTTTTGTGTATGGTATGAGGTATGGATCCTATTTCATTTTTTTACAGCACCATTTTGCCAGCACCATTTGTTAATAAGACTGTCTTTTCCCCCATTTAATGCTGTTTGGGCCTTTGTCAAAGATCAGGTGACCATAGGTGGATGGATTTATATCTGGGTTCTCAATTCTGTTCCATTGGTCAATGTGTCTGTCATTATACCAATACCAGGCTGTTTTGAATACCGTAGCTGTATAGTAGGTTCTGAGGTCAGGTAGTGTGAATCCTCCTACTTTATTCTTTTTCTTCAATAGTGATTTACTTATCTGGGGCCTCTTTCCTTTCCATATAAAGTTAATGATCAGTTTTTCCATCTTGTTAACAAGAATGCTGTTGGTATTCGGATCGAGATTACACTGTATGTGTAGATTGCTTTGGGTAGAATTGACATTTTCATAATGTTGAGTCTACCTGTCCGTGAGCATGGTATGTTTTTCCATTTATGTAGGTGTCGTTTGGTTTCCTGCAGTAATGTTTTGTAGTTTTCTTTGTATAGGTCTTTCACCTCCCTGGTTAGATTTATTCCTAAGTATTTTATTTTTTTAGAAGCTGTTATAAATGGTGTTGCTTTGCTGATTTCCTTTTCATAGTTCTCTTTACTGGTGTATAGGAATCCAACTGATTTTTGTATGTTTATCTTGTATCCTTCCACTGTGCTGAATCTTTCTATTAGTTCCAGTAGTTTTCTTGTGGAGTCCTTTGGGTTCTCTATGTACAGCATCATATCATCTTCAGATATGGATAATTTTACTTCTTCCTTACCAATTTGGTTGCCCTTTTTTTTCTTTTTCTTGCCTTATTGCTCTAGCTAGGACTTCCAGCACAATGTTAAAAAGGAGTGGTGATAAAGGGCATCCCTATCTTGTTGTCATTCTCAGGGGGGAGTATTTCCAGCTTCTCTCTGTTAAGAATGATATTGGCTGTTGGTTTTGTATAATAGCCCTTTATTATGTTGAGGAATTTCCCTTCCATATCTGTTTTATTGAGAGTTTTTATCAGAAATGGGTGTTGGATTTTATCGAATGTCTTTTCTGTGTCAATTGAAATGATCATGTGATTCTTCTGTTTTATTTATGTGGTAGATTACATTGATTGATCTTCTAATGTTGAACCATCTTTGCATACCTGGTATGAATCCCACTTGATCGTGTTGTATTATTTTTTTAATATGATGCTGAGTGCTATTGGCTAGAATTTTGTTGAGAATTTTTGCATCTGTATTCATGAGAGATATTGGTTTGTAACTTTCTTTGTGGTGGTGTTTCCTGGTTTTGGTATCAGGGTTATGCTGACTTCATAGAATGAATTAATAAGTATCCCTTCCTTTTCTATGTTCTGAAATAGTTTGAGTAGTACTGGTGCAGGCTTTTGTTTGAATGTTTGGTAGAATTCTCCAGTGAAGCCATCTGGGCCAAGGCTTTTTTTTGTTGGGATTTTTTAAATTACCTTTTCAGTCTTTCCCTTGTTATGGGTCTGTTCTGATTTTGACCTTAGTTTGTGTTAGTTTAGGTAGTTAGCATGTTTCTAGAAACTGTCCATTTCCTTTAGGTTTTCAAATTTGTTGGAGTACAGTTTTTCATAGTACTCTGTTATGACCATTTTATTTCAGTAGGGTCTGTTGTAACATACCCCATTTCATTTCTTTTTTGGGTTATTTGTGTCCTCTCTTGTTTTTCTTTTATCAATTTGGCCAATATGTCGATTTTGTTGATCCTTTCAAAGAACCAACTTTCAGTTTTGTTGA